CCAGGCAGCAGCAAGCAGACAAGGAATTAGTAATCTATGAAAAAACATCAACTTCAGCTTCTATGCCCAGGAAATGTCTGTTCGCTTGACACGAAACGGTATGTTTTGAGTCGACTTAGAAATAACCTCAGCTGAGCCTGCAACAGTGAATGTCTGGAAGTTGGAAACAGTATTTACAACCTTCCACAGATTCATCCCAGCCTCATCTCCTTGCCCCACTTATGGATCCACTCTTATTTTCTCCTCCTGAATCCCTTCGTTTCGTGGTCCAAACACACATCACCCCACCTCACAACTCAACCTTTTTTCTTCTATTTTCCTTTCTCTGCGTTGGGGCAAATACAGGAGGAATCGCTGAGTGGGGCGAATCCTTTCCCACACACGGCGCAACTCACATGTCTATCAGCTGAGCAAGCTTCGTAAGGCGCTTGGGAATGGACCCCGTGAAACTGTTGTTGCTCAGATCCCTGCCAGCCAGCCACCGCCATTGCCAGTGGAAATTGTCAGCTACAACAAAAGAGTTGACACATGTGTACATTTATACCCTTAAAGTGGAGATTCTTGCTTGGCTGTGTTACGTTGGATCCATACATTTGAGCGCTTGCGAGACCCTCAGCTCAGCCCTCCAGCTGCATACATTAGAACAAGGCTTGGCAGTTTTAACAGAGACTCGGGGAACGATCCAGAGAAGCGGTTGTTGGCTATGCTTCTGGCACAGAGCAGAACCAAGGTGTTGAAAGAGTGGACAAATGATACGCATGCACAGACAACACTTAGTTAGAATGGTGGCAGAGGTATGCGCATGCACATGCATAAACATACGCCTCCGGGATAGGTAGGTCGTCCACTTCACACGGCGACGATTGGAAAACCCTCATGCACCGCACTCGATAATGGCCCATAAACGGTGACACTGAATAAGACGAAACGAGCCCAGCCTACGCCCCTTCAACACGGAACATGCAATGCATAGGGATGAGCATGTATCCGAACACCCGTTCGGTTCGGTCGAACATGTTCGAGACGAACCGAACGGGCTTTTTTTTGCCAAAAAATGTTCGGCACGAACGTGTTCGTTGTTCGTGCGAACATGTTAGGTGTTCGACGGCGTCGATTCGTGTTCGACGCGGTACATCGACGAACACCGAGGTAAACGTCGACGAATTGGCCACGGCATAATCTAGGGTTGCGGCCAATTCTTGTGTTGGTCATTTTTTAGAGCTCCGTGACCATGTCGCTGCCACCAGGCCGCCCAGCCCACACCCTCACCTACTACTACTAGCCTAGTGAGGAAGATGTTTCAATTCTCACGTGTTGGCGAGATGCTTACAAGTTTTAATAATAGAAGGTAGCCAGCATCTACTCCCAGCGCAAAGTTGAAGTAGAGGGATACCATTAGGGTTTCCACCATTAAAGGGGTCTCCACCGTTGAAGGGGTTTCCACCGTCAAGGTCTCCATCAAAGTGACACTCCCCTCCCCTCGCCGCCGCATCACCAGTCTATCAAGGGTCTAGTCTAGGTTTCTTCGGCCGTCGAGGGAAATGGCCTCCCACCAACAAGTTAGTGCAGGGCGGGGTGGTCGCGGTAGTCAGGGCAGTGCTCCATCATCTGCACAAGGACCTATGCAGGGTAGAGTAGGTGACGGCCCTGGAGGTGCTTGTTTCGTCGGTGGGCTTCTGTCCATGCCCGTGCCGTCAACCCGTCTGTCGTTCCGTTACTCGGGTGATCGACCCCGCTCAGCTGGGCAGACGCGCACCACCACTCAGACCGCCAGTGAGGCGGACGAGGAGGAGGAGGATAACGATGAGGGGGAGAATGAGGAGGAGGAGGAGGAGGACGAGGAGGGGAGCGGTGATGATAGTGAGCAGGGGTGGACACCCGAGACGCATGGTGGTGGTGGGGACGGGGGAGGAGATGAAGATGAGGAGATGGAAGGGTTAGAGCCTGAGGGGGTGGAGGAGGGTGTTGGTGAATGAGGAGGGGTTGCCGCGGCTGCCGCAGAAGAGGCCTCTCAGCACATGGGTAGAGGACGGGTGCGTGGTGGTGGCGGTGTTAAGGTTGGGCGAAAGAGGCCGTTAATTGGGAACAGAAAGAAGAAAGCCGAGAAGTTGCGAACACGAGCGTATCCTTGCACCTTCAGAGGGGTGGATTTGGGCGAGGGTGTGGTCGCTCCAGAGTTCATTGACGAGGAGGGAGAGACCGAGAGTAGCAGGTGGAATGGCAAGGGGAGGAAGAAGCGAGGGTGGCAAGTTCATATGTTTGGGCCTAAGGGGACCGACGACAAGCGGCAATGCAAGATTTGCACTGATCGAATTTCTTGGAGGGGATCTACACCTACACGAGGCGAGCGCCACTTCGAGAGCTACCACACTGCTCATATGGATGTGTGGTACCACCGTTGCCACAATCCACATCTGCAACTGCCGGGCGAGACGTTTCCGAGGGGGGACTACGTCGGAGTGCCGGATGGCTACGTATATTATTGGCCGCATGCAGAAAGCTGGCCTAACATCCCAAGGAAGAGAGGGAAGGCAGAGGGGCGAGGGGCGGAGGGGTCTGGCGAGGCTGGGATGAAGAGCTACATGTCAAAAAAGCTGTCAGAAGTGGAGCTTCGTCACGCAATCGTCAAGCTGGTGGTGACCTGCGACCTTCCCTTCAAAATTGTGGAGGCTGAGGTGGTAAGGGTTTACTGCTGCTGGGTGTGGCCGTTGTGGTGCTTAGTTCAGAAAGACGCGTCCTGCGTCCTGGACGCATGCGTCCAGACGCAGGACGCTGACCCTGGACCTGTAAGACGCACCAAAAGACGCAAGCCCGGGCAGGGCAAAAACAACCCCCGGGCAGGCCAAAAAAAAAATGTATAGGGCTTGGGAGAGGGGGGGGGGGGGGGGGTGTGATACGCTTGGGGGGAGAGTCTACGGCATCATCAACACTCTTAGACGCGGTGGAAGAAGAAGGAATGCTCGAGGAAGCCATAGCGGAGTTTAGGTGGTAAGCTAAGCTAAGACCTAAAACCTCTATGGGTTTACGAAAGAGAATTGGTGAGGGGAAAATGAGAAGCCACAAAAGGGGGGCTGGTTTTGAATGGCGAATTGGGTTTGGGGTGGGGAAATTTCGCGATTTCGACATTCGCGTCGAAATCGCGAATGCCAAAATCGCGATCGAAAAAAAATAATCGGGTTGCCCGAAAAAATTTTCGACGTGCGTCCTGCGTCCTAGCGTCCGGACGCAGGACGCAGCGTCCTAGCTGCGTCTTTCCGAACATAGTTGTGGTGTGGGTACGGCGAGCGCATGATGCTGAGGGGAGGGTGTTGGGTTGGGACACTTACGCCTCTCCTTTCCATGCCATTCTTGCGCTGTTAGGCGAAACCCAACGCATGCTTGTTGTGTGAACTCCTTCCACCCACCCCACCAATTTCGCGAGCCTCTGACCCTGTGCAACCATCACTGCGGGCATAACAACTTCATGCCTTCGCGCTGGACGGTGGCACGCGACACTGTGGCGTTTGCTGTGGCCGCTCTGCATGCTGCCAAGGTGGAGCTGCTAGGGAATGAGGGGGAGTTGGGATGCAAGGTGTCATACACCATTGACATCTGGACTGCACCCAATGGGAAGGCTTGGTTAGTTGATACAGGTCACTGGATCGACGAGACGTTTCAACAACGTGAGGCAATGCTGGAGTTTCGCGAGCTGACGGGTCGTCATGGAACGACGCAGATCGCGCAGATCGTGGAGGACATTGTGGTGATGTGGGGGTTAGAGGGGCGTTGTCTGGGAATCACCACAGACAACGCCTCCGCCAACATTGCCACGTTCAAGCGCCTGTCGAAGGAGGGTGGTGATCGGGCTTTCTTCAACTCCCGCCTGCACTTCAGGTATGAGTGGGTGTGGAAGTGATAATGGGGTGGCTTGTCAAAGACGGCATTGTGGGTGTGTGTGGGTGTATTTGGGGTTTTTGGAATCCCCCACGCCAACCAAAGACCATGTGTCACTACCTCCCAAATCACATGCCTACGGTGCTATGATCCGCAGGTGCTTGTCACATGTGGTTAACCTGGCAGTGCAGGCAGGACTGAAGGTGGATGTCATTCGCGCCTTGTTGAAGGTGCTCAGAATCATGGTGTCCTGGGTTGGGTACTCGCCGCAACGCTCGATGGCGTTTTTGGGACTTCAGCGCGGCTTGAACCAGCAGACCCGTGTAAAAAAACCAGCCTTGAAGCTGGTGCAGGACAGTCCTACCTGCTGGGGTTCGGCTCATGCCATGATCGACCGCTTCCTTGAGTTGGAGAATCCGATCACTGTGTTCTTGGCCTCGACCCAGATATAGCCCACTGGGAGACGCAGCATCCCGCGACGGAGCCGATGGAGAGGCCGCGCCCAGCGTCGGGTGTGGTGATCGCGCTAGTACGTGAGCGGGTGGCCGAGTACCAGGCGGCGGCTAGGGAGCTGGCTCTTAGGCCCATTACACTTACCACGGTGGTAGAGGAGGAGGAGGGAGAGGGGGGGGGGATGACGAGGACAACCTTTATCTCCCTAGTCGCCGACGCCTTGCAGTGCGTCTGTCTACGAGCCAAGCGGCGAGGGGGGGGTGGTCCTGTGCAGGACGATGAGGTCAGCAGGTACTTGTCCGAGAGGGTGCGGTACGACGTGTCAGCGCTAGAGTACAGGCGCACCTCCACGAACATGGAGACGCTGAAGCGGATGGCGAGGGATTATCTTGCGATCCCTGCCACATCTGCTGCGAGCGAGCGCGTGTTCTCCTTGGGCCGCAAGGAGCGCCACCGCCTGAACTCCGAGAGGGCGCGATTTTGCATGATTCTCATATCGTGGTATGGATCGCACTCTGGCCAAAGGATCGGCGAGGGCTGCCGCACGAAAGGGGTCGCAACATTGGAGATCGCTCTTGAGGGCGAGGGTGCGGAGGAGGAGGAGGGTGCGGAGGAGGAGGAGGAGGAGGAGGAGGAGGAGGAGGAGGAGGAGGAGGAGGAGGAGGAGGAGGAGGAGGAGGAGGAGGAGGAGGAGGAGGTGGTGGAGGAGGAGGTGGAGGCGGAGGAGGAGGTGGAGGGGGGGGCGGCGGAGGAGGTGGATGAGGAGGCGGCAAAGGGGAGAGGGGCGGACGCAGTAGCAGGTGGCGCGGATGGTGGTGTTGGTAGCGGGGGTGGGACAGGGATGTAGTTTTGATTTTGTTGGTGGGCTATGGAGGGACCCTTTGGTAGTCCTTTGACTATGGACACGTTCTATGCCGCACGTTATTCATGCTCATCAAAGTTATTATAAACACGGCAAAGGTAAGGCAAAACAATACCAAACTGAAAACCCTACCAGCGGGATGCATTGGCAGTGTTTTATAATGCTAAGCCCTCAGGGGCGAACACGAACATGTTCCTGTTGAACATGTTCGTGTTCGCCATTGTGTTCGAAATGTTCAAACACAATGGCGAACACCGAACGGCCCTGTTAGAGCCAAAGAGAACGCGAACATGTTCGTGTTCGCCTCGTGCTCATCCCTAACATGCAAGGTCTTCTGGAACAGCATACGATACAAGGATAGCACCACCACGGCACCCTGTCTAGTGTAGTAAATTCGTGTAATAAAGCGAGCAGTGGAATCTCTTGACGGCTGCAATTGTGAGCAAACAGGCATCGGTGCATTGGTGTGACCATGCATGGCAGATGCAGCATGGCTCACATGGATGAGAGGCCTTCGATCCCTGAGAACGCCATGGGCAGCACACCGGAGAAGTTGTTTGTATGGAGCACCCTGCATTCATGCATGCATGCATGGGGTCAACATATTGCAGGGAGCGGCTCGGATGAGATGGGCAGAGAATACCACAGATTAACGTGACAGAGTCATAGCAGGTTGAGCAGGGAGCAAGGAGGAAGCACGCGGGCCAAGGGTGAGGCAGAGAAGGAGCAGAGAGCACTCACACGTCTGTGAGCCATGTCATCTGAGCCACCACGTCCAGGCCTGAGCTGAGGCTGTTGTTGGACACATCCCTGTGGTGTGGTGAGGGGTGGTGAGGGGTGGGGTGGTGTGGTGTGGGGTGGGGTTGTGTGGTGTTGCGTGGTGAGGTGGTGTGTGGGGCAATGATGGGATGGGAAGGCAGGGTGAGTGGCATAAAAGACGAGCAACCACAACCGTATCCACTGCATGCAAAGGCATTGCCAATGCATTCGCTTATGCAAAACTTATTGGGTGGAAAATGTGACATTCCATCCAGCGGCAGACACAATGGAAATGGGTCAGTCAGGGTACGTAAGTGAGTCGTGAGTGAGTCGTGAGTGAGTGAGTGAGGGGCGAGTGCCAACGAAGCAAGGCAAGGCAAGGGTAGACAGCAGGCAAATGCAGTGAAGGAGTGGAGAGGGGGACGTGCAGAGCTGTGAGGGAAGGAGATTGTACAGAGCAGCCATGCCGGTGAGGCTGGTGAATGCGCTGGGGATGCCTCCTGTGAACTGATTGTTGGACAGCTGGCTGCACGCACAGGAGACGAGCACAGCACCGCATGCACAGCACAGGCTAAGACATACAACTTGACACAACAGCTGAAAACGAGAGGAGTCGGGTATTAGGTGAGCAGAATAGCCGTACCTCGTTGTTGTCTTACCTAGATAGAGGCCCAGGGCAGTCGGACAAGTGGCAAAACGGCAGCACAGGCAAAGGCACCAACCATCCATGGAAGAGGTGCAGAGACGAGTGCAGAGACGAGTGCAGAGACGAGTGTATGGATGAGTGCAGTTGAGGAGAGGCGTGGTAATTGAGTTGAAGTTCCCCGAAACTAGCTATGCAAGGTGAGAGAGAGGTAGAATAAAACGCACAGCTGGGTCAAGCTGGGCAGTGCCAGGTGTGGTGGGATGGGCCCGTCAAAGGCGTTGTATCCAAGCAGTCTGGTCAGAGGCAGAGTGCAGGACAGGGCAAGGTACGGTGCGGGTTGGGTGAAGGTAAGCAATGCACAAATGCGCTGAGGGCCGGTTGGTAGGGAATCGAATCGGAACATTCAATGAATGGCCGTTGAGCTGAATGCGCACTGGAGGATGCATGCAGCAGTCATAGAGGCAGAGCGAGACAGGGGGTGAGTGCATGTAAGTTGAAGGGTAGGAGGGGAGGGGGGAGGGGGGGTTGGGGGGGAGTGGGAGGAGAGGATGTAACGAAGAGGAAATGAAACAGAAAGATGATTAAAGCAGGAAGGCGAGGGCAAGAGGCACTGGAGGGAGGAGTTAGTTGGTGGGAGCGCAGTGCAGAGCCCGAGAAGAGAGAGGAGAAGGAGGAGGAAGGGAAGGCGGGGGGGGGGGGGGGGGGGGGGGGGGGGGGAGGGGGGAATAGAGAGTAGGAGTAATACGCACATGGAATTGACATTGGAGCTGAAGACAGGAGGTACTGTACCAAAGAGATAGTTCCACGACAGGTCTCTGCTCGTGAGAGAGAGGCAATTGGAAGCAGAATACAAAACATGGGACAGGGCGAGGAGAGGAGGATGGGAAAGACAAGAGTGGGTGAATGCAGGTACCATGCCAATCCACTTAACACCTAGGCGATTGCCGTGTCTCCGTTATTAAGTGTGCTCGGGGATCGAGGGATGCGTGTGGGGGTGGAAACATACTGGTTGGCCTCACGATGTTCTCCTTGCAATGCTGCTCAGCTCACATGCCCGCCAGCTCAATGGCGGAAAACAACAGGACTAGACTGCTGGAGGCGCGGCGAGGCACGAATAGGAGGTGTGAATGAGAAAGAGCTTAGGCAGCCATTGAGCCAGCAAATATGAGTTGAGGGGGTTCATGTGTCACGCTCGCTTAGGGCACTGCAAACCACATTCAGATACCGCTGTTTGAGGCGCCTCAAAAGTCAAACCACATTAAAATACCGCTGGGCTCAGTTGCAGGCACCAGAAGATGAGGCTGCACCTTACAGGAGATACAGGAAGGTAGGCGGAGAGAAAGAGCCGGTAGGCGAGCGATAGGAAGACTTGTGAACCAGTGGGGAACAATACACCACACGTCACTTGCAGTGGAGTGGAGAGATCCTACACAGGAAAATATTGACAAGACCTAGCTCTCTCTCTCTCTCTCAAGGATTAGGTGTCATCAGGTCATGTCAAGAATCTCTGGTGGGGCATTATGCTGGTCAGGCAAGCCACGGGTTGGGTGGAGTTGATTGGAAGGAGCGCGGGCGTACAGTGCAGTGAGGGCTGTGAGGGCAGAGAACGTTGCCGGTATTGTGCCTTGAAGATGGTTGAACCCCAGATTACTGCAACACGGAGAAAACGACAATGTTTAGTGTGTGTTTTCAAATCAGTGTACATGGGAGGAGTGACAGAGTGGAGTGGAATGGAGTATGTAAAGGCAAGTGGGCATGCGTGAGAGGGTGGTTCAATGAGCAGTGCGTCGAGTGGTTTGACTCGCGAGTGAGTGACGTCTGACTTCAACTTGTCTGATATTGTTGGGGACGGGGAGATACCCGAAGAGATGATGCCTAAGTGCGAAAACTAGGTAGGTTGCCTTGCTCCTGATAAAATCTTATCCACTCCATCATTAACCCTAACTTTGGAAAGTTTCTAAAGCAACTCAGCACAAGCTAAACAGTTACCCCAAACTACGAGAATGCGATGCAAGTAAGCAAGTTTTCCACCTTTTAACAAATGCTAAATCATGTAGGCTGGTAGGTACATAGTGGAATGAATCAAGAGTGGATGGAGGAGGTTCATGGTAATGATTACAGCGGCATGGCTCGGCGCGAATCGGGTAGGCAAACAAGGGGCCGCAGCTTGGTTTGAGGCTAGTTTTCTTTGCTCATGCCTGCAGCATGGCAGCATGGCAGCACGGCACAGCACGGCACAGCACGATAGGCGGGGTCTCACAGGTCAGCCAGGTTAACCAGAGTGGACCAGCCCTTGAGCAGGGAACCTTCCAGATTGTTGCCAAACAGTGATCTGTGTTTACAAGGGGGTTGCAGTGTGGTCCAAGGGAGTTACGAGGACTTTCATGCCTGAAGAGACGGGTACCATTTTGACTTGCACAGCACAGGCAGAGGCAGAGGCAGAGGTACATGTTATCAGTGGGTTGAATGGCCTTAATCCAGAGCCCATCCAGCACAGGAAGGCCCTGTGGGAGACCATGCTCATGCACGCCCCTGCATCCCACTGCAAGCCACTGCACCCCACTGCCCGACCCTGCACCCCACTGCATGCCCCTGCATCCCACTGTATGCCGCCTCTGCAACTCTTTGCACTCACAGGCGCGTGAGTGCTGTGAGCTCGGACATGTCTTCCGCCAGCAGGCCCTGTCGCCGCGGCTCATCCGTGTTCAGGTTCCTGCATGCGGGCGAGGAGAAGCAAACATGGCAGTTGAGGGGAATGGTGATGAGAGATACAACAGAGCAGCAACGCTCATGAGCAGCGCAGCAGCAGGAGGACTGATGGGGAGCTCTAATATTGTGACGACTGCGCAACACGAGGGCATCAAGAATCAAGGCTGTGCCATACCCCCTTGCCTAGTGCCATGCCACCTTGCCTAGTGCCATGCCACCTTGCCTAGTGCCATGCCCCCTTGCCTAGTGCCATGCCCCCTTGCCTAGTGCCATGCCCCCTTGCCTAGTGCCATGCCACCTTGCCTAGTGCCATGCCACCTTGCCTAGTGCCATGAATGGCCCGACCAAGTAGGCGCAACGCAATAGGCAAGGCAAGCAAGCAGCTTACAGGGACTGAAGGTTGGACAGGTGGGTGACCCAGTTGGGGAACTCCACGGCACGGAGATACGAGAGGTCGCTGCAGGGATGGGGGCAAGGAAACGTGTGTCATCAGGGAGAGAGGAGGGGAGGGTAGACGGCAGGCAGGCGCTTGTACAACTGAGTTGAGCCGCACCATAGATGCACTGCAACGAGGGACCACCAAATTGAGATTATGGTAGCCATAGTTGAGTGGTATGGTATGGCACATAGAGTGTGCACTGCACGGGACACAGTGTCTGGGCTTGATATGGTGGCCGGGCCACATGGTGTGTGCGTGTGTACACGAACATGTTTGTGTTCGCCCCTACACGAACACATTCGTTTGCCGAACCGAACAGTGTTCGGTTCGGCGAACACTTTAAGCAAAAACAGGTGTTCGCCGTTTGCCTGTGAAGGCGTGTTCGGGCGAAACTCGAACACGTTCGTGTTCGTCGCGGGGCAAATTGCAGCAGCGGCCCGAACACGAACGTGTACGGGCGAACCTCGAACACTGTTTGGCGAACACTTTAAGCAAAGAAAACAAACCTGTTCGGTTCGCCTGTGTTCGTTTTTTTGCTCATCCCTAGCACGTAATGCAGAGAAGCATGGGCTTGGTGCGATGTGCAGCACAGTGACCTCGTCACCGCTCACTTGTCGTGAATCGCTCGCCTGCCGCGTGTGTGTAGCGTGGGCGAAATGAAAACAGTGTGACGTGATGTGGAGTGGATGGATGGAGTCGACTGAGATTAAGCAAGCATGTGCGGTGCAGCAGCTTACAGTGCAGTGAGGGCAGTCATGTAGCGGATCTCCCTGGGGATCTCCCCTGTGGCCCCGCTGAAGCCTCGAAGCATGCTGCACAGCACAGCACAGCACAGCACAGCACAGCACAGCGCACCCATGCAACGTGGAAGCAGGCAGGTTGGTGCCAGTTAAAGCCCAGGTACAGCACGGCTGTGTTGATACCATTGCATGGTATACGCTGGTATGGTATGGATGCAGGCATCTTGAGCAGGAGCCACGTCAAGGTCAGAAAACACAGACGAGAGGATTGAGTCAAAAGGCATGCGCATGCACATGCACGTTCGGGTGCATGCACGCTCAACTAACGTTGCACCACCAGTGAAACGTACTATCACAAGAGTGCTTGCTTGCATTGCTTGCCTTGCATGAATGAATGCATGCCGTCAGGTTGCTCACAGGTCCTGGAGGGTGTCGATGTGCGACAGCATGGCGAAGGAAGAGAGGTCCCCTGTGACCTCCGCCAGGGCGCTCAGGTGCCTGGTGGTGCGTGGTGGGGGGAGGGAGGGAGGGAGGGAGGGAGGGGGAGACATGAAGGGAGGAGTGGGGTGGAAGGTTGAGGAGGAGGGATGGTGGCAGGCAGCACGAGGGGGGAAGGTGGATGCTGCATGCAGGGGATACTGGGGTAGTGTGGCGTGTGTGTGTGTGTGGCAGCGAGGAGGAGGAGGAGGAGGAGGAGGAGGAGGAGGAGGAGGAGGAGGAGGAGGAGGAGGAGGAGGAGGAGGAGGAGGAGGAGGAGGAGGAAATGCGACCTAAAGTGGGCAAGGTTCTGACATGGAGAACGGGGGGAAGGGAAGGGAGGAAAGGGGGGATGAAGGAGGAGTGGAGGGGGGGGGGGGGGGGGGGGGGGCGCTGTGTTTAGAGGAAGGAGGTGAGATTGTTTTCTGCGATTCCTGTGCATGAAAGAACAGGTTGAGGCCCACCCACCCCACCCCACCCCACCCCACCCCACCCCACCCCACCCCACCCCACCCCACCCCACCCCACCCCACCCCACCCCACCCCACCCCACCCCACCCCATCCCATCCCATCCCATCCCATCCCATCCCATCCCATCCATCCATCCATCCATCCATCCATCCATCCATCCATCCATCCATCCATCCATCCATCCATCCATCCATCCATCCACAGCAATGCTGGGGTGGAGTGGAGTGGAGTGGAGTGGAGTGGAGTGGAGAGGAGTGGAGTGGAGTGGAGTGGAGTGGAGTGGAGTGGAGTGGAGAGTGGAGTGGAGTGGAGTGGAGTGGAGTGGAGTGGAATGGGCTTACAGTGTGTGCAGGGCGGAGAGGGAGGAGAGCCACGAGAGGTCGTCGACGGTGCCGGTGAGCAAGCAGCCGTCTGCTCCCAGGGCGCTGTAGGGAGCGATGCACGCATGTGCAGGGGAGGGGGGCATGTGCAGGGGGGAGGGGGGCATGTGCAGGGGGGAGGGGCATGTGCAGGGGGGAGGGGCATGTGCAGGGGGGAGGGGCATGTGCAGGGGGGAGGGGCACAAACAGGGGGGAATGCAGCACATGCAAGACCCATGCAGCACATGCAAGAACCATGCAGCACATACAAGGAAGGGAGCGGAGGATGGGTCATGTGGAGAGTATGTAATGGCGAAAACGAGAACGGAAACGGGAGGAATGTGCCAGCAAGTTTGCATGGGGGGCCGGGGCCACAAACGAAGGAGGCGAATGAACATGGTGAGTCAATGCACTGCACGAGGTCAAGTCAGCCCCGCCACACAAGCTGCAGTGGTAGGCGCGACGAGTGGGAGGGGCGGTGAAGGGCTGTGAGGGGATGTGAGGTGTGTTTCTTGTGATGGGAGAAGAGAGGAGAGGAGAGGAGAGGAGGGTGTGAGACGTACAGGTAAGTGAGGCGGGTGAGAGGTGAGAGGGATGGCACGGGGCCCTCCAGGTTGATGCCGTACGTTAGGTCTCTGCAGACATTTGCAAGGAATTTGCCGGAAATGGCGAGGGGGTTGCAGAGATTTGCAAGGGTTTCGCAGAAAATGGCAAGGGATGCGCGGAAAATAGAAAAGGGGTTTCTAGAAATTTGCAAGGAATTTGCAGAAGCTCGTACAGTGCTTGCAGAAAGTTGCAAGGTCTGCAGAAATCTTGGAAGGAATTTACATAGAAATGCAAGAAATCGAGTTCTAGAGCAACGCATGGGCAAAAAGTGAGAAGTGGGCGAGGAGGGGGGGGGGGTGGGAGGGGAGAGGGAGGGGAAGGGAAGGGGGGAACAAGAAATCAAATTCTAGAGCAAGGGACGGGCAGGAAGAGAAAAGTGGGCGAGGGGGGGCGGGGGGTGGGGGCGGGTTGGGTGGGAGGGAGGGGGAGGGAGGGGGGGAACAAGAAATCAAATTCTAGAGCAAGGGATGGGCAGGAAGAGAGAAGTGGGAGAGGGGGTGGGGAGGGGGAGGGAGGGAGGGAAGGGATGGATGGTAAGGTCAAGTGAGTTTGCAGGGGAAGCATGAAAAGGGAGTGGTGGAAGCAGGAAGTACAATGCACACTGTATTGGGGCAGCAGCGCACAAGGAGGAATTGAATGGGAGAAATTTGAACGGAGGCCAGGGATGGGATGAGCAAAGGAAGAGAAGAAGGCACGATGGTGCAGGCAAGATGAGAGGGAGCGGGAGGGGGAGAGGGCAGAGGGCAGAGGGAGGGGGAGGCGCGGACGGACAGGTATTGAAGAGCGGCGAGGTCGGTGATGGCAGCAGGAATGGTGCCAGTGGGAGGAGGATCCATGGTAAAGGCCTTGGAGTCCCTGCCAGGGCATACATGCGCTCACACACACATCCGCTCACACACACATCCGCTCACACACATATGCGCTCACACACACATGCACTCACACACACATGCACTCACACACACATGCACTCACACACACATGCACTCACACACACATGCACTCACACACACATGCACTCACACACACATGCACTCACTCACATGTGTACGCGCACAGCACATACCACTCACACACTTACATGCATGTACACACGCACACTCACACACATGCTTGCATGCATGCGCACGAAAACATACAGCCCAAAACCCGACCGACCGCATGCACATGGACACACGCTCACACACATGCGCACACACAAGCGCACACACATACACGTGCGCATGCGTGCGCAAACACACAGACACACGTGCACACACACGCACGCACACATGCACGCACGCGCACCACGCCCACCCAACCACCCAATCACCCACCCACCCACCCGCCCGCCCGCCCAACCACACCCACACACACGCACACGCACACACGCGCGCACACACACACACACACACACACACACACACATGGATGGGTATCTTTCGAACACGCTTGTGCGCACACACACATGCATCCATGCACGCATTGCACGATGTCGAGCCAGCCACCCACTCGCACACAGGGCAGTGACGAGCCCCCATGCGACTCACAGGGCAACGACGGCCCCGTTGGGGCTGCAGGTGACGCCAGCCCACGCAGAGCACGCCGTGGTGGCGTTGCTGTTGCCCGCCCACGCGCGCCACGCCTCCTGCAGCTGCACCAGCGCGCGCACTGCACGCACACCGCCCAGGTGCATGGGGATGGGGATGAGGATGATGATGGGGAGAAAAAGGCCATGGAGGTGACGTGGGGACGGGGCGATGGGGGGGACGGGGCGATGCGGGGGACGGGGAGATGGGGTGAACGGGGTGATGGGGGAAACGGGGAGGTGACGGTAATGGGGATAATGGGGAGAACGGGGATACTCAGGGTAATCGATCGAGATACTGCGGAACGGGGAGCAGTGATGCAGGCACCAGATCAGCTGCATCAATGCACGGTGCATTGAGATGCAACAATTCACTCGCTCCCACCACGCCGCGCACCCACTCCCACTCCCAATGCCCCACTGCCAATGCCCCACTCTTCCCCTCCACCACCCTTAACTCATCCCCACTACTCACACTGCGACGCTCCTAGCGCCACGGGCCTCTCAGCAACAGCGGCGGCGGTGGCGGCGGTAACCTCAACCCGCAAAAGCGCGCGGCCCTCCCGCGCTTCGCCGTGGCTCCCCCCGCCTTCTCCGCGGTTGCGCCAGGAGCTAGAATTTCCCCAGGAGACACTGGGGAAATCGAGCCGCGCGCCGAGAGACGGTTCCGCCGCATGGCGGAGCGGAGAAGGCGCGCGCAGGCGGAGGTTGCCGCGCGGAGGGGGGGGACGGTGGCGAGGGTCGGGGCGGCGAGGGGGGGAGGGCAGCGGTGGGGGCGCGGCGTTGCGGGGAAAGCAGTCGGCGGCGGCGGTGAGGACGAGAAGAGGTACGAGGAGCAGGCGCGCTGCGGCCGCCAGCACACGCGGAGACGAGAAACCGGCGCTGCTGCTGCCGCCGCTGCTGCTGCTGCTGCTGCGGCGGCGGCCCGTCAGGCTCGCAGGGGAGTGAGAGCTGGCGGCGGCGCGCCGTGCACTACTGCTGCCAGTGAGGCTGGTAGTAGCGCTACTCGTAGAAGAACTACTTCTTCTGGGGATGCTGCTGTCGAGCACGTGTGCAGCGCCGCTTGTGCTACTAGCCGGGAGAGTGATAGTAGTAGCGCGGGTGCGGCGAAGATTGAATGGTGACGTCATGGAGGGAGAGATTGGTGAGCGAGAGGGTGGAGAGAGTGAGGGGGAGAGAGAGAGAGACGCAGTCCGGACGTCGGTCGCTCACGCTCACGCTCACGCTCACGGTCAAACGTGACGGGTCGACGAGCCGATTGGCAACGGTGCACACGCCGCCGCCGTTGGTCGCGCACTGCGCGAGGGAGTGCGGCGACCTCGATTAGTACAGTCGTAGTACGAGGCCGTCGCCCTCGGCGTGCGGCGGCTGGGACCCGGAATGCATCAAGTGGTACTCGCTTGAATCCGGGCGTTGTACTACTACAGTAGTCTGCGCTGCGACAGTCCGGCGGAATCGCCTCACTTGAAGTTTGTTTTCGCGCAGTCTCTCAACGTCCAACCAAACTTGTTTGTGCTACATTCACGTACTCCCATCCCATTCCTAGTGGAGGAAACGAAACGAAGCAACTCTGATGAGAGAGCTCAACTGACAGGTCCGTCCAGGCATGAAGGCATGTTGTCACTTCACGACGACGACTCACACAAACAACCACACTGCACAACACACAGTCCTCGCCAATTTCACGCCCCGTCAGCTCTTAAAACCAGACTGACCATATTTGGCTATAGGGGGTAAGACACCCCCGAACTAGAGGCTATCCGAGGCATTGTGACGTTTCGATGTTTGCCCCTTCTGACGTTGAGACCGCAACGCAAGGACTGAATCTTCCAGTGCGACGATGTTTCTTTTGTATTTCCACTAACTCATGTGCGTAGTCCCAGTCGTTGCTTTCCTTAAAACCAAAGTGTTTGAAACAACCCTCAAGCTCGGGTCAATTTAAAACGAATACACAGAGGGATAAATTGGACATAGTGAAGTTGGCGAGGACTTGGTGTACCACAACTCTACTCACGGCACGGCACGGTCACTCCCTCACTCACGATGACGTGTTCTTGCAGCACTGTCCGTGTGCTTGAACCAAGCCCGAGCGAGCTACAGTATAACCACATGATGGTGGGTGTGTGTGTGTGGCTGTGAAGGAATGAGAGCACTGAGCAAGCAAGTGGATGTCGCGTCGCGTGGATAAGGAGGATCCACCAGCGCCACTTACTGGCCCGTCCCACCCCATGCAATTTTATGAGGTTCTTATACGACTGGTCACTATAAAGGACGCGCTATCAAAAATGATCACACGGCTACCACAAACAGTCACAGAATCTAGATCTTTATCACGAATGGTCACAGAATTTAGGATTCTATCACGGATAGTCATAGGAAAATCACCCTTGGTGTCACAATGCCCCACAAAATTAACACGTCTCGTCACAAGATAAAGGGAATTTTTTTGTGTAGTGATTTATAGGATTTTTGATTCCGAATTTGTTTTGTCCTATTTTGCAATTTTGTTTTTTTTTTTTTATGGGATGTTTTCCTCAATAATAAAGTGTTCATGCTTTTTAAGTATCATAAGTAGGAAAAAACTAAAACTAAAACTAAAACTAAACCCGCTCTGATGATTTGCGATCCAAGAGAGGCATCAACTGTGAAAGTTTAGAAGAAAGAAGAGCGTTGAACTAGCAAGAATGGGGATACACATAGCAAACCCTAGAAGAGTTGTACTTGCTATGGAGCACCCCACTACAGGCTATAGCATAATATTCTGACACACCCCTATAGCCAAAGTGGGGTGTAATCAGCAGAGCAAGCAAAGCAGTACAAGCTCAGGGTAGATCACAATGTCACCACACATTCTGAGCACAAGTACAAGAATCAACAGTTTAAAAGTTCACAATTATGAGCAAAGCTAGAGCTAATCACAGCGGACAAGTGAGGAGGAGGAGGAGCTGTGGGGGAGAGAAGATGGGAGGCGACTGCTGACGCCGCAGACAAACAGACAAGCTGCTGGCTCAGTGGCTACCGGAACAGCGCTCCGGACTACTGGAGTAACTGGCCTCGCGGCTAATAGTAGCGGCAGACGAGCAACGGACCCACGAGCGACTGGCGACTACCGGAGATTGTAGCCTCCGGACTGCTGCTGCTGCTGACGATAAGACTGCTGCCTCCACTCAACCTCCCCCAACTGTCCCACACTCTCGGCACACGCCCACTGCTCAAACCCTAGCTCCACTCCCACGCACCCCCCTTAAACCCTAAACCCAGTCTCCCACTCATCCACCCCCCTCAGCGACAGCTGCAGCAGTGGGAGACGAAGGAGGAGGAGGAGCAAAGGGAGGAATGCACAACTGCCGCCCCCATACTCGCCACCCCCTACTCGCCATCCCCCAAACCCTAACACTGGCAGGGCGCGATGGCAGGTAGGGAGGTTACGGGGGAGGGGGGGGGGGGGGGGGGGGGGGGACCGACGCGCGGCCTCCCAGGGCGCCAAAACAGGCGGCAGAAGGGGCGGCGCTCGCCCCCCTCCCCCACGTAGCGGCCCCCGAGGGAGCCGCGACGGGCGACGGGAAAAGGGAGGGGGGGGGGGGGGGGGCGGTGCACGTGCCCTCGGTGCGCCGCGACGGGCGACGCAACATGGCCGAGGAGAGGCTGGTCCTGGCGCAGCCCGTACGGGCCGCGCGCTGCCTGTACGGGCGGCGCGCAGGTCACGACGGGCGACGAAGGGCGACGCGCGGGTCCCCGTCGCCCGTCGCAAAGCCTCCCGAGGGCGACGCGCCGAGGGACGGGGCAGAAGCCCGCCGCGCGCCTCGGGGCGCACAGCGGGCAGAGAACCGCCGCGCGCCTCGGGGCGCACGGCGGGCAGAAAACCGCCGCGCGCCTCGGGGCGCGCGGCGGGAAGAAAAACTGCCGCACGCCACGGGGCGTGCGGCACAGAGAGTAGTAGTAGCAGTTGCAGCGGAAGCAACGAGGTGGTAAGCCCACCCACAGGATCGATCCAAGGGGATCGACCTGCTCTGATAGCATGTGAAAGTTTAGAAGAAAGAAGAGCGTTGAACTAGCAAGAATGGGGATACAAATAGCAAACCCTAGAAGGGTTGTACTCGCTATGGAGCACCCCACTACAGGCTAGAGCATAATATTCTGATATCAACCTTGAACATCGTGCGACAAGATATTTAGGGTTGATACCGAAATCCATTGGCATGAATGCTCTCTCTCTCTCTCTCTCTCTCTCTCTCTCTCTCTCTCTCTCTCTCTCTCTCTATCTCTCTCTCTCTCTCACACACACACACATACACACATACAGTCTCTCTCTTTCTCTCTCTCTCTCTCTCTCTCTCTCTCTCTCTCTCTCTCTCTCTCTCTCTCTCTCTCTCTCTCTCTCTCTAATGACTTGGGACGACCATCATTATGCTAAAAAACAATGTATAATTAATCTCGATTTATCAGGATTTGAATCGCGACTCGCTACGGAAGTAACTATGCAGTTGTAATAAGACAAATTTGAATCAGGTTTAAACTTCTCGAAAGTGGTCGCGAACTTTGTTCATAAGTAGCGGTCGTAACTCATGTATTTTTAACTTTTCATTGACAATTTCATTGTGTGATTATACGCGATAGAATTTTAAGGCAACGTGTGACTATTCGTGATATATCCCTAGATTCTGTGACCATCTACGATAGCCCATATACATACTTTTTTATGCATTAAGAACATCATCAGTCGTAACAATGTACATAGGGGAAGGCTGTCAAACATATATGCTATATCCTATGTAGGCTGTAGTGGGGTAGACAATAGGGGGTACTGATATTCTAGGGTTTCATACTTGTACCCCACACATTCCTAGTCAATTCATTCCTCGTTATTTCACATGGTATAGAGCAATTTCCCTAGTGGGAACGTTTCCTAGGGCCCACCACTAAAACGATTTTTTTTTCCTTACCTGCACGGAGCGCGCTTCGAGCCTGCCCTAGTCGCGCCCCGTGCGTCTGCCCTCCTGTCGCGCCCCTTAAGGCCCCTTCGCGGCCCCTCTCACCGCCCTTCGCGGCCCCTCTTACGGCCCTTCGCGGCCCCTTCGCGGCCCTTCGCGGCCCCTTCGCGGCCCTTCGTGGCCCCTCTCACGGCCCTTCGCGGCCCCTTCGCGGCCCCTCGCGGCCCCTCGCGGCCCCTCGCGGCCCCTTCGCGGCCCCTTCTCGGCCCCTACGCCGCCCTTCGCGGCCCCTTCGCGACCCCTCCGCGGCCCTTCGCGGCCCTTCGTGGCTCCTTCACGGCCCCTCCGCGGCCCCTTCGCGGCTCTTCGCGGCCCCTTCGCGGCCCCTCCCTGGCTCTTCGCGGCCCTGCCACCCCGTAGTCGCCGCCCCAGCAGTAGCTGCCGTCGCACCTGCTGCCGCTGCTGCTTCCTCCACGGCCGGTCGCCGCCACCGCTCCTGCCGTGACAGCCGCCGCCGCTCCTGTTGAGACAACCGCCACTGCCACTTCAGTGACAGCCGCCGCCGCCGTCCCGGCCCTACCCTGCAGCCGAGGCGCGGCCCCTTCTCTGCCGCCCTGTCGCGGCCCTGTTCCTGCCGGCTCACCTCGGCCCTGCCCCACCGCTTGCGGACCTCTACCCGCCCGCCCCTGCAGCTGCCCCTGCAGCAGCCCCCCCTGGCCCCTAGAGCAGCCGCCCCTGGCCCCTGGAGCAGCCGCACCTGCAGCAGCCGCCCATGGCCACCGAAGCAGTCGCCCCTGCAACAGCCGCCCCTGGCCCCTGGAGCAGCCGCCCCTGCAGCAGCCGCCCCTGGCCCCTGGAGCAGCCGCCCTTGCAGCAGCCGCCCCTGGCCCTTGGAGCAACCGCCCCTAGAGCAGCCGCCCTTGCAGCGGCCGCCCCTGGCCCCTGGAGCAGCCGCCCCTGCAGCAGCCGCCCCTGGCCCCTGGAGCAGCCGCCCCTGCAGCAGTCGCCCCTGGCCCCTAGAGCAGCCGCCCCTAGCCCCTGGAGCAGCCGCCCCTGCTGCAGTCGCCCCTGGCCCCTGGAGCAGCCGCCCCTGCAGGAGCCGCCCCTGGAGCAGTCGCCCCTGCAGCTGCCGCGGAACCCTTGCCCTGCAGTGGTAGCGGCCTTGCCGTTGCCGCCAACGTACGCCTGCCCTTCTCGCCACTGGTGAGCACTGCCCTGCCCGTATTGCTGTTACTGCTGCTCCTACTACTACTGCTCTTTCTACTGCTAATTCTGCTCCTGGCGTGGCCAGATGCAGCTCCAGCGCCGTCGACGTGAGTCCCTCACGTCCCAACAACTTCGTGAGTGGTACGCTAGTGGTTGTAGGGGTGGCCGCGCTGCTACTACTACTACTGCTGCTACTGCGGCTACTACTGCTACTGCTCCTCCTGGCAGTGGCCAGCTGCAGCTCCAGCGACGTTCGCGTGAGTCCCTCCCGCCCCAAAAGCTTCATGAGTGGTACGCTAGTTGGGGTTGTCGGGGTGGCCGTGGTGGGAGTCGTCGTGGAGTGAGTAGTTCGGGAGCTTCTTGTAGTGGCCAAGTTCAGCTACAGCGTCGTCCGCGTGAGACCCTTTCGCCCCAGCAGCTTTGCGAGTAATACGCTCAAAGTAGAGGGTTACTGAGTAGTGCTCGCTGCCCGTACGTCATTCGCACGGGTGTCTGGACTGGTCAGCCTTGCGGGACTCCTGGTCACACAGAGTCCTGCTGCTTCGCCCGTCTGAGCGACGCTTGGTGTACACAGTTTGGCGACGACGGTGAGCTCCCCTCCTGGCTGGAGCTGCTTAGGCTGTGGGTAGATATCTTTGCTCTTGACTATTATGCTCTTCTCACTGCAATGTATGCATTGTCTACTAGTGCTGAGGGTGTCTGTCACCTATGTGTGCCGCCTTACCCCTATATCCAGTCTGCTGCTCTAGGTGCTGGTGAGGCTGGTGCTCTAGGTGCTCGTGCGTCTCCTGCTCCAGGTGTCGGTGAGGATGCTGCTCTAGGTGCTAGTGCGTCTCCTGCTCCAAGTGCTGGTGAGTCTGCTCTCTCTGGTGCAGTGCCTGCTGCGGTCTTGCACACCTTCACCCTTGACTCGGGTGCTTCCCGCTCATTCTTTCGAGACCGCACCACCCTCACGCCGCTTAGTCGGCCGGTTGCAGTCTCCCTGGCAGACCCCTCTGGGGGTCCTGTCCTTGCTCACTACTCCACTGTCCTACCGTGTCCGGCGGCCCCGTCTGGCTCCCTGTCAGGTCTCTACCTCCCCTCGTTCTCTACAAACTTGGTGAGTGGTGCTGACCTGCAGGATGGAGGGGTTGACCAGTTCACTCCTGCGAGTCAGCGAGTGACCCACTCCACGTGTGCTCGGACGGGCCAACACTTGGCCACGTTTACCCGTCAGCCGGGGCCGAGCCTGTACACAATGACGACTGAGTCTCCTTCGGTTACTGCGTCTGGTCAGGTTGCTGCGTTGGGTCAAGTGTCTGCTGCAGCGTCTCCGTCTAATCTTGAGTCTGCCCCCTGCTCGTGTCGCCTCCTGTCCCACCAGACTCTCCTCTGGCACCACCGCCTTGGTCACCCCTCCCTACCTCGTCTCCAAGGCATGGCCTCCCGTCTCCTTGTCTCTTGTCTCCCCAGGTCCCTCCCTCCCCTTCCTCCGGGGCCTGCCCCCACCTGCGTTCCCTGCGTCGAGGGACGGCAACGCGCCGCTCCTCACTCCTCCGAGTTTCCTCCGACAGAGGCTCCGCAACAGACTCTTTACATGGACGTGTGGGGCCCCACCCGCGTCCGTGGACAGGGTCATGAGCGTTACTTCCTGCTGGTGGTTAACGACTACTCGCGTTACACCACAGTCTTCCCCTTGTGCCACAAGGGTGAGGTCATTGAGGTGTTGATTGATTGGATCCGCGCAGCTCGTCTCCAGCTCAGAGAGAGTTTCGGCTCGGACTTTCCTGTTCTGCGTCTGCACTCCGACAGGGGTGGAGAGATTTCCTCCGACCTTCTGCGAGCCTTTTGTCGTACGGAGGGCATCCGCCAGACGTTCACGCTTTTGGCCTCTCCACAGCAAAATGGGATGGCTGAGCGCCGCATTGGCATGGTCATGGACGTCGCTCGTACGTCCATGATCGATGCGGCTGCTCCCCATTTTTTGTGGCCGTTCGCAGTTCAGTACGCGGCGCATCAGATCAACCTTCAGCCCCGGGTCTCCATGCCGGAGACCTCCCCTACTCTGCGGTGGACGGGAAGGTTGGCGATGCGTCTGCATTCCGTGTCTAGGGATCTCGAGCTTTCGTCCGCGACTTGTCTGCAGACAAGCTGTCCTCCTGTGCTGTTCCCTGCGTCTTCCTTGGCTTCCCCCCTGACGCGCCTAGTTGGCAGTTTTACCACCCCACCTCGCGCCGTGTTCTGTCCTCTCAGGACGTCACGTTTGGCGAGTCAGTTCCCTACTACCGTCTCTTCCCCTACCGCACTGCTCCCCTTCCCCCCCCGCCGCTCTTCCTCGCTCCAGGTACCCCCCCGGTAGACCCCCTCCCCCCACAGGGTACTGCTCCATCACGTGTGTCCCTGGTAGACGCGGTCGAGCCTGTCGAGGTAGCTGTTGACTCTGGTGCCGGGTCTGGGGGTGCTGAGCCTGAACGTGTGGAGTCTGGGGGTGCTGAGTCTGGGGGTGCTGAGCCTGGGGTTGCTGAGTCTGGGGGTGCAGAGCCTGAGGGTGCTGGGCCTGCTCGTGTGGAGTTTGGTGGTGCTGGGCCTAGAGGTCCTTCCGGTGCTTCGTCCGGGCGGGAGCCACTCTCTCCGCAAGTGCTGCGCGCTGGCTTGCTAGGCGCTGGCGCCGTGCTGCTGGAGCTGGTGGTGCTTCCGGCGCTGGGGGTTCTGCTGCGGCTGGAGGTCCTTCTGCTGCTGGGGCTGCTGGAGGTTCTGGAGCCACGGGTCCCAGAGGTGCTCGTACTGGAGGTGCTGGAGCTGCCAGGCCTGGTGGTGCTAGTCGAGCTGGAGCTGCTGGCGGTGCTGGAGCTGGTGGTGCTGCTGGAGTAGGTGCTGCTGGAGGTATTGGAGCTGGAGCTGCTTCGTCTTCCGGTGGTCCTAGTGGAGCAAGAGCTGTTGGAGGTGCTGGAGCTGGAGGTGCTGCTGGAGCCGGTGCTCCTGTAGGTGCTGGATTTGGCGCTACTGGAGCAGCTGGTGGAGCTGCTGGAGCTGTTGGAGCTGGCTCTGGGGGTGCTGGTGCTGTCCGTGCAGGTTCTGGAGGTGCTGCGCGGCCACGGCCGTACTTCGTTCCGCTCCTTGAGCAGGTTCTTGATCTTCCACCCTCCACTGGTCCTGCTCCTCCCTTAGAGTGTCCACCGCCTGTCCAGTCCGAGTCACAGTTACAGCCCGCCTCCCCACTGCTTGCTCCTTCTCCCTACACTGGTCCTACTGGAGGTCTTGCTGAGCGTCGTGAGCCTGCGTCTCGTCCTGCGTCGCCTGTTTGTGCTGCTCGCACTGGTCGTCGTGTTCCGCGTCAGCGTCCTCCTGCGGTCCAAGGCAAGCACCAGATCGCACTGCGTCCTTCCACTGCTCCACTGCGTGTCCCTTTGCCGTCTCCTCCAGAGTCCTCTCTTCCTGTCCTTGCTGACCCGGAGTTTGACTCTCTTCGTGCTGCCAGTCCTACTGTCACGCGTCTCCTGGCTACTGTTGTCACTGACCCTTCCTTTGAGTCCAGTGCTGCGTCTGCCTTAGTTGCTGAGCTTGTCGACTTCGCTGCTCACTCTGGTATAGACTACGCCGCTAGTCTTGTCGCTGAGTCTGAGTCTGTCAGTCCTCTGTCCGTCGGGGGTGAGTGTGCTCTTAGCACGGACGTTCTTGAGGAAGGGGAGGAGGAGTTCCTATGTTTTGCTGCTGCTTTACCTCATCTTGTGTCCATGCTGATTGCACCTGAGGGAGACCCGGATGCACCAGACATCCCGTCTCCGCGCTCTTACGCAGAGGCGATAGAGGGTCCCTACTCCTCTTAGTGGCAGCCAGCCATGGACGCAGAGATGGCTTCCTGGAAGTCCACAGGCACCTACGTCGACGAGGTTCCCCCACTTGGGGCGAACATTGTAAGTGGCATGTGGATTTTCAAGGTGAAGCGGCCGCCGGGTTCTCCGCGTGTCTTCAAGGCGCGTTACGTGGCTCGAGGCTTCAGTCAGCGGCAGGGAGTTGACTACTTTCAGACCCTCTCTCCCACCCCGAAGATGACCACTCTTCGGGTGCTGCTGCACATAGCCGCTCAGCGCGACTACGAGCTTCACTCTCTTGACTTCAGCACTGCTTTCCTATAGGGCAGCCTGCACGAGGAGATCTAGCTGCGCCGCCCACCTGGCTTCACTGGGTCGTTTTCTCCTGGTACCTAGTGGAGCCTCCGCCGGCCAGTCTACGGTCTCTGCCAGGCGCCCCGTGAGTGGCACGACACACTGAGGACTACACTTGCGGCTCTTGGCTTTGCTCCTTCTACTGCCGACCCGTCGCTGTTTCTAAGCACCGACACCTCCTTGCCGTCGTTCTACATCCTCGTGTACGTCGACGACTTGGTCTTTGCCACAGCTGACATTGCTGGACTAGCCCACGTGAAGTCCGAGCTGCAGAAGAGACACACGTGCACAGACCTGGGTGAAATGCGCACCTACTTTGGCTTGCAGATCACCCGGGACAGAGCACGGCGCACCATTACCCTGACTCAGTCACACATGGTGCAGCAGGTCCTTCAGCGCTTCGGCTTCACGTACTCCCTGCCTCAGGCCACTCCTTTGTCTACTCACCACTCGCTCTCAGCTCTGGCTTTGGATGAGTCTGTAGAGCCAAGTGGCCCGTACCCAGAGCTTGTTGGCTGCCTCATGTACCTGATGACCTGCACTCGACCTGACTTGGCATACCCTCTTATCATCTTGGCACGCTATGTTGCTCCTGGGAGACACCGATTAGAGCACATGGTTGCAACGAAGAGGGTGTTGCGCTACTTGTGCAGTACGTCGGGCATGGGGCTTGTGCTTGGAGGGCGGAGTCCAGTGGTCCTCACTGGTCACGCAGACGCTTCTTGGGCTGACGACCAGGCTACGCAGTGGTCGTGACAGGGTTACACCTTCAGCCTTGGTTCTTGCTCTGTTTCGTGGCGGTCTACCCGCTCGTCTTCTGTTGCGTCTCCAGCTGTGAGGCTGAGATCTACGCAGGGGACATGGCTGCACAGGAGTTACGCTGACTCACCGACCTGTTGACTGACCTAGGAGAGCCGCCTCGTTCTCCTCTAGTGGTTTACGTAGACAACAAGGCCATGCTGGCCTTGTGTCGGGAGCACAGACTGGAGCACAGAACGAAGCACATTGCTCTTCGCTACTTCCTTGCTCGTGAGCTACAGCAGCGTGGTTAGTTGCGCCTTGCTTACGTGGCCTCTCGGGCCAACACTGCTGATATCTTTACCAAGGCACTTCAGCCTTGTGATCATCAGCGCTTTTGTACTATGCTAGGTCTTGTGCCTACTTGGCCTCACTTGCTCACTTCTTGACCTTGCTTGTACTGTGATCTTTCTATACCTGCTCTTGCTTGTTTAACTTTATATATATAATCCTGCATGTGAACTTGCCTTGTGGCCTTGAACCGGTGCTTGGAATGTGTGGTGACGTTGTGATCCACCCTGAGCTTGCTTTGCTTGACTGGTCGTGTGACCCCTTGTTCTCCCCCACTTTGCCTATGGGGGTGTGTCAGACATATATGCTATAGCTCATGTAGGCTGTAGTGGGGTAGACAATAGGGGGTACTGATATTCTAGGGTTTCATACTTGTACCCCACACATTCCTAGTCAATTCATTCCTCGTAATTTCACAAAGGCCATGGTAACGGTTACCACGGGTCCCCTCGTCCAACCTATGATTGTTGATGCGTCCGCCTCGGATTGTCCCAGCGCAAACCAAAGCTTATCCTACACACCAGCGGTGCAGCCTTCATGCAGATTTTCCTCACTATCCCTACCCCGTCTACCTCCATATGCGCCCATGTGTCCCCGTTCGTCAGTACCCCTCGCTATTGATGGGAAATGGCTCCGCCCTTGCTTGGGGGAAGCAGACTTCGCAGTCGGGGGGTGCGTAGAAATCAACCTAGACTGCGCGCAAAGTTCAACGTCGACCTGTCCATACAGTTCGACCTCGACTTGTCCGCAGAACACGACCTCCACCTGTCCGTAGAGGACGCTGGTTGACGTGCTCATATAGGACGCTGGTCGACGAGCCCGTAGAGGGGTGATGGTACACGGGTTCTTCTCGACGTGCTCGTCTAAGCGAATTTTGTTCGACGGAACATCGTCAAGCTGGTCGACGCAAGTCGCTCGACAGCAAAGTCCGACGTATAGGCGAATCTCGCCTAGGAGGTTTCCGCGAAGTCGACCTGCGGAACGCCATCACGTGCTCGACGGTGCATGGCTAGAGAAATCGTCGCCACGTGTTCTACCTGGCACCTGCGCAATGTGTCTGGCGGCGCGATCGTCTACCTGCACCTACATGCACAGAAGTACACCTGCCTCTGCAGCGCTGGCACGCCGCTGCAATGCAACGTTGGCAGACTACTCTGCTACAGCGTTGGCAAGCCGCTCTTCTGCTGCACTGGCAGATTTCGCTCTGCAGAGAGCTTGCTAGGTGTTGCAATGCCATTCTGGGTATATCGACTTGCATGCCTTATTGCACTCAATGTTCTGTCAATTTCTTAGTGAAACTCTTGCCAAATTTCATTGTGAACACAACAAGTAGTGAGAACGCCGAGTGCAATGCTACGATCACCCGCACAACCCCGTGCCTTCCTCTGCCGTCCACTACCGTTGTGTAGTGACTCTTCGCATAGTGCGGTGAGCGTGGACAGCCCCGCAATGATACCTTCAGAGTATCCAACTTTGGTGCGCATTACCTAATTCGTGGGTAGGCCGTCAGCCTTCTTAGTCACCATGGTCGACCCCCCGTAGTAGAAGCGGGCGTAGAAGATATCATGGAGACTCGAGAGGCTGATGTTAGGAGAGGCCATACAGCTAGCGAGTTCGGCGAGGTCCCCTTGGAGTGGGCACTCCTAGGCACTCGCGAGCAGTGGGCGCGCGACCACCCACCTCCCCGTGCTGCAGCGGACGGTGTGTCTACCTCGCCCCTGCCTGTGCGCAATGAAGCAGGTCGGCGGTGGTGACCAAGTCGGCAGAGACGAGGGCACAAGGAGGATGAGTGGAGTGATCAGGGTCGCCGCCGACGGAGTCGGCAAAATTCATGCGCGAGCGCAGCGGTCGACGCCAGCTGTGAGCAGTTCGCACGGCGACGTTGGCGGTTGACGTCGCTCCCCGCAGAGAAGTGGAGTGCGGCAGAGCTCCTCTACGCACGAGACCTTGCGGAATTGCGCCAGCCTACGGGCATATGATTTTTTTGCCTGACAAGATCGCCTTGCCTATACCCCTGGAAGGTCGACAAGACCTCATCACGTGGAGGGAGTCGATTGAGCCCTAGCTGGAAATTGCACGGCTGAAGTGTTTCGCCGACGGCGAAGTGGTGACGCCGGAAGAGGACGACGTCGAGCTGCCGGTAGAATTCCGCGCGGCTCATCTGCTGACCTTCATGGTCATCTTACGCTGATGCTGGACGATGGTGCAGATCGCTCTGAAGTCGTATCGACTTCAACTGGGCGCTGACCACCAGGCGTGGCGGTTCATCTGGTCAACGTACCAGGCGACCGACGATCTCTACATCGGCCAGCTGGGGGAGAGCTTGACTCACCTGAGGATGGGCGAGCAGGAGTCGACGACGAACTACTACAATCAAGTTCGACGGATCCTCGCCGACATGCGGATGGCAGGCGTTGACTACTCCACAACGTCCTACATCACGCACGTAGTCAAGGGGCTACCGAGCAGCTACAACCTTATGCGCTGGCCGATGGAGGTGCCTGGCACACGTGAGTCGCTCAATGAGGACACCCTCACCAGCTACATCATAATATATGAGGCGATGCGGGAGGCAGAGAGGCCCACGGAGATCCTTCCGCTGGCAAACTACGTCGCCCCGACGAAGTAGAGCCGTCAGCAAGGGCACCGCGGGAAGCAGGGCGGAGGTCGTAGCGGTGGTGGGAAGTCGGCGAAGGACGCTGACCGGACGAAGTCGGCGCGGGACAACGGTAGAGGCGGAGGTGGTAGACGTCGGGAGTGCTGGACCTCCGGCGACTCCGACCACCTCTCCTACGAGTGCCCCGACCGCAAAGAGAGTGACGACGAAGGCAAGGGAGGCCCCAGGAAGTCCGACGGCGGTCGTCGACGCCGAGACAATAAGCTGCGCAAGGAGAAGCAGACATCGAAGTCGACGCCTTCAACGAAGGACGCCGACTTCTCTGCTGGCAAAGGTCGAGGCGGCGGGGAGGCGTCGTGCTCGATGGTTGGCGTTGTAGAGTGGACCGTTTCTCTGGCGCCAGAGGCCGGCGACTTCAAGGCGGTCGCGGCCGCCATGCAGGCAAACCCGATGGTGGTGCTGCTCGACAGCGGCTGTTCCCACCATCTGAAGGGGACGAAGGAGGCGTTCGTTGAGATGAAGACTGGAGGCAACGTCAAGTAAGTGCGTGGCTTCAACGGGGCGTTGCAGAAAGTCGAAGGTCGTGGCATAGTCACTCTTCACGGGGAGACTGGGCTCGTCCCCGACGTACTCTACGTCCCAGGCGTGCACGCGAACTTGCTTTCTGCGGGCCAGCTGAAGGACAGCGGTGTGAAGCTGCAAGATGTCGGCGACGAAATGCCGCTCATCTTGGTGGCGGGGACGTCCTTGGTCGGGCGAAGTATACTGGCCAGGTCCTCTGCACCGACCTTCGACCTTGCTCGCAGAAGTCGATGTTGGCTTTGGCAAAAGTGGTGGCTCTACAAACGATCGCCTTAGGGACGAAGTCTACGCCGCACATGTGGCACGCAAGGCTCGAGCACGTCAGCATCGACACGATCAACAGCTCAGCAAAGCATGAGGTCGCCGTCGGTCTAGAAATCAAGCAGTCGACCGCAGCGGATCTGTCGTGTGCCTCCTGCATAGGCGGTAAGCTTGCGCGGCACACCTTCCCTAACCAAGGATCAGATGCAAAGAATTTGCTCGACGTGGTGCACATCGACCTCTGCGGCCATTTCGAGTGGCCACCAACGACGAGAGGTTCTAATTTCTACTGCTGAAGGACAGTAAGACTCGCTACGTGTGGATCAGGCGGATCGCGAAGAAGAGCGACGCGCTGGTCGTCTTCGAAAAATGGCTTAAGTTGGTGGAGCGGCAGACGTAGAAGACGGTGAAAATGCTGCGTTTTGACTGCAGAGGAGAGTTCCTCGATCAGGCCTTCTTCGACCTCGTCGAAGACAGGGGTATCCTCCACAATTTGACATGCCCCTATACTCTGCAGCAGAACGGGATGGCAGAGCGGGAGTTGCGTACGATCGCCGAGACCGTGCGGATGATGCTGCTTCACATGAATGTGAAGCACCACTAGTGGCACCTTGCTCTTCAACACGCCGTCTGGGTGCGCAACTGCCTCGAACGGGCTTCAAGGACGACGTCGCACGAGCTGCTGTTCGAGAAGAGACCGGACTTGACGCTGGCGCGCGTGTGGGGCTGCATGGAGCAGTTCATGGTCCCCGAGCAGCAGCGCGGCAGAAAGTTGGCGTCGAAGGCCCGGGGAGGCCTTCATCTCAGTCTGTCGCCAGAGAGCAAGGGCTAGGAGGTGTTCGACCTTACCGACAACAATGTGGTCACGACCGTAGAGGCCATCATCTACGAGACCATGTCGCTGTAGGTGTGGAAGGAAAAGCACGACCCAGTTTCAACGCGGAAACCTGCTGTCGCGCCGACGGATCGCTCGTCGACGATGACCCATTTGCTTGCCGTCAAAGATAACGACGTTGATGACGTCCCTCCGCCCTCTGCTCCCTCTTCTAACTTCCCTTTGCCTCTTGCCGCTGATCTGACGAAGACAGCATTGCCGTCGGCCACCGGCAATGAAGGGAGCATTGTTGCGTTGCCTTCGGTGCTACCAGTGGCATCGCCGGCGACCGACGTGACGAGATGCATCTCGGCGGCCAAGTGCAGAAGCTGC